GTGATTTTTGTTAAAATACAGTTTTGTTTCATTCGGTGGATTGATTTATTTGATTGTGATTATGAATAATTCTATAGAATCTACGTTGCGATACCACTCAGCGGTTTTGCTGAACGCATAGTTATCTTTATTCTGTGACTGTGCGCAAGTAAGAAGCATGACGGTGTTGATCCCGGAGGGCGGTGATGCGTTAGAGATGGTGGCATGGGTGTGGGAACAATTTCACTTTCAATACCTTTCTTTAAATTAAGTTTGAATATTTTTGAGCCTTGAATCCATGTGTGTACTATTTTCAAATTCCTTAAGCTTCCACAACGTTATTTTATTTTCCTACTCCGAAACAATTTGTGATGTTGACATTTTGAATCATTTGAATTGTTATTATTAAAATGTTTTCTTCAAATTATGGATGTTACTTTACCAATTTACTAGCGCTCCGGACCGCTAACTCAAGTGAACTGGGTTACGCGGATCGAGGTGTTACAATTAAGAGTAAATTCCCAAAATAGTCCTTTGTAATAAGGTGTTTTCCCAAATCAGTCCTCAATAAGTTTAAATTACCTACGTGATCCTCTATAATTGAGATTTATTCCCAATATGGTCCTTTGTAAATAATGTTACTCAAATGAGGATTAATTGAGGGTATTTTGGTATTTTTTATCTGCTAAATTTAGAATTAATTCTTAAAATGATCATTTATAATGATGTACTTTCCCAAAATGGTTTTTTCCAATTAAAGATGTGTATTTAATTTAAATTTAAAAGATTTTTATAAGTTTTAGACAATTCAGGAATTATTTATAGTCAATGTATTTTTTCAATTATATATTTTTTTTTTGCACAGAAACACACCTTTCCATTTCACTTCAAACTATTCGAATAAACTTACATCAGATTATAACACTCTCTTGTAAGTAAAAAAAACTCTGTACATAGAAACAAATGTATTCAATGATCTCTTCTTCCTTTCAATTTTATATTTAGTTGTATAGAAATAGCTATTTTGAGAATATACTTTAAATTTGGATGATCAAAATACCAAAATATCTCACAATTAATCATCATTTGAGTAATATCATTTATGAAGGACTATCTTGGGAATAAATCTCAATCATAGAGGAGCATATAGGTAATTAAAACTTATTGAGGATTGAATTGGAAAAATACTTTATTACAAAGGACCATTTCGGGAATTTACTCTACAATAAATGAGGGAAAAATATAGCAAATCAAAAGCACAAATAAAAAACAAGAAGAATAAACAAAAAATCGAACTTCTCTCTCTGGATTAATAATAGGAAGTCCACTTTCCAGGATTCGGGAGCAAGTTCACCCAGATTTGAGCTCCAGCGGAGGCAAAGTATTAGCTTTTGTGCATTATTAGGTTGATAATATTATGAACAAATACTAATTTATAATAGAATGAATATCATTAAAAAAAATTAAATTTCGGGTATCATAGATAGCGAATCCAAAATATTGGTATCCTGGATGGATCCTAGCGACCTCAACTCCCCAGTCCATCCATAGTTTTCATAACCGAACCGGTGATCGAACCGATCAAGGTACTAGTTCACTGGTCGAACCAGTGGTTCAAACATTTTAAATAAATAGACAAATATATATAAAGAAATTATATATATATGTGTGTGTGTGTGTGTGTGTGTGTGTGTCTATATATATATATATATATATATATATATATATATATATATATATAAAATACACATTGTGACATTGAATTTAAAAAATTAATATATGAGTAAATAAAATAATATTTCCTCTGTTTATAAATAAAGAATTGATGTTTGACTAAATTTATAACTTAACTTAATTTACTTGAGTTGTGTCATTAAATAAAAATTAATATTTACCTATTTAAAAGAGCTTATAAATAAAAAGTGATTTGAATTTTTTAAATAGTTTACCTTGTATTTAAATACATACATACATACATACATACATACATACATACATATATATATATATATATATAATATTTGTGTGATATGCACTCCATATCAATTACATCAATGAGTTTTGAATTTTAGTTTAAAAGACTATATATATTTCTAAAGTATTTGATAAAAACATTTTAATTAGAGAATACTTAAAACAAATCGAGGAGAGAAAACGACCAACATATGTAGAAAAAAAATTTCCATTCCTGGCAGTGTATGTAAGGTATTTTTTTTCTGACAGTGCAATACGGATTTGGCTACTCCGTTTCTGCTCTGAAATTTTAAATGGAACGGAGCAGCTAAATCCATTTCAAGTATTTTATTTCCCATACGGAGTAGCGTACTCCGTTTCAATTTATTAAAAAAATTAAACCCTAAACGGAGTAGCCAAATCCGTTTCAGTCGAAATTTATTTCAGACGGATTAGGCTACTCCGTGTCTCTATCCGGATAACCAACCCATCCCCTTCCGTCCAACCAAATCCAGCCGAAGAGATCCGCAGCATTCCAGCGCCTACACCCGCCGAAGAGGTTCATACCCCCGTCCAATCCCCCCGTATGTCCAGGACGAGGATGCCACTGAAGATGACTATGTTGAGAGCGATACCCACACACCCGCTTGCACCGCTGAGCCATCCACTTCATATACTCCACAATTCGAGGTTCCGGATCCTCCACAGCGCATGTACCGTACGTCACCAGTCAGGTTTGATGGAGATTATGTGTTTACTCAAGAAAGTCAACTCACGGATGAGTTTGGGAAATATCTCTCCAGCACGACACCATCGGTTATCCCTAAGACGTTTGTTAACGTTGAAGTGGAGGAGGAACGGGATCAGGATCTGCGACCACGACGCACTCGACGTGGGACCCGATGTGGTACCGGTAACCATTATGTTTAGTATTTTCCTTTTGTTTAATATATCTGATTTCGGTTATGTATGTCCACTTTAATTGTGTGTTTCGGCAATGTATGTAAACTATTTATCTGTAGCCATTTTATTTTGTATCTTCTATTTATTTTTCACTCCCAACTAATCATTTATTCCCCCTCCCAACAAACCACCCCCAACTAACCACCCTTTCCCACTCCCACTTAACCATTTATTTCCACCTCCCAACTAACCACTCCCAACTAACAACTCTTTGCCACTCCCACCTAACCATTTATTTCTCCTCCCAACTAACCACTCCCAACTAAGGGCATCTCCAATGGATCAGCCATATTGTTAAAAATGAATTTTATAGCTTCTACTGTGGTGTTTTTGGTGCTCCAACGCAGCCTCCAAAATTTAGAGCATCATCTATATATGCTTTTACACCCTCCATTTATAGAAGTTACTGTAGAAATGCTAAAAAATAAATTTGAATAAAATAATAAAAAAGAGTTGATTATTGCTAGATCTATTGAGATTTTTGGGGCATACAGAAGTGACAGAGTGCAGGGAGATAAAGATGGGAGAGAGAATAGCAAAATTTTAGAAGATGTGGTTGGAGTTTGTCAACAAAAGTAAATATCTAAATTACTGTAGATAGTGTAAAAGTAAAGTTTAGCTTCCCATTTTTAGCATCTCCCTTGGAGATGCTCTAACAAGTCTTTCCCACTCCCACCTAACTACATTTTCGTGCTCCCCTTACAAATACCACCCAATATCTCCATTTTGAAGAGACCATCACTATTCTTCTACACATCCAAATAAACAATGTCAGAAGATAATAGTATACTTCTAATAAAAGTATACTTATAAAAGTGGAGTTAATTTGTTAACAAAGTTTATAAAAGAGAAGTTAAAATAACTAAAAAAAATTAAAAGGAAAAAAATTAATTGGAACAAAGCAACAAATCCGTTTGATAATTAAAGAAAATTACAAAAAAAATAAATAAATATTGAAACAGATTAGGCTAATCCGTTTGGTAATTAAATGAGTGTAACGGATTAGCCTAATCCGTTTGGTTAAATAATATGCATCAAAACAGATTAGCCAAATCCGGTTGGTATTATGAAGGAAAAGGTGTTTTTACATTGCATATAAAGGAATGAAATGCAAGTATGTTACACAAATATGGAATTCACCCTCGAGGAGTGTTTCCACCTAGCGGAGATGGTTTGTAAAGGGCCCTTTCTCCAATGCGGTCCTGTGTTCGAATCCTGAACGACCGAACTTGTGCATTTTGAAAAATCTTCAGGCTAGAGTCTCCCAATCTCTCTCGATTCTCTCTTATGGCTGGGACTATTATTTTTAGATTGATGGGCTATTAGCTTCTTGCAATATTTTGATCTTTTGCATGGTTTGCCAATAAATACCAAATGGGGATATGGTATGGCTCCATTTGATACACGAAATTTAAATTATGAAATTAAAATGAGAGTAATAATTCTAATTCTGCTGCTTTATAACACAAAAATATATAGATTTGGAATTGGTAGTTACAAAAAAAATTGAAATTGGAGAATTAAATTCCATCTAAATCAATTTCAATTCATAGAATTCAACTCCAAATTCTACCAATTTCGTGTAGCAAACGGACCCTAAGTGTATCATGTGTTGGCATTTATTGATTCAATTCTTTAGAGTCTTGTAATGTCTTGGCAACTAAGGTTCTGTTCTTTTCAATTGAAATTGTATAGTTACATGTTGGAAAAAATTAGAAGTTGAGGGCTTATATTTTACATTAGGGTGTACCTAGAACTAGGTACATCCAGCAAATGTTTATTTGGAATCAACGTAGTTTACATTCTGAAACAGTGTAGTGTTCATTCCAAGCCTGCTCTATGTAGTGCGTTCATATTGAAATAACATTGTTAATTCTGAAACAACGTAATGTTCATTCTGTAACATTTTTAATTACATGTTTTCCATGTTGTACGATACAACCGGCTGTATCATATAATTTGCAGAAGAAGTTGGAAGAAACTGACAGGAGTTGGAAGACACTATGAATTGAAAGAAACTGGAAGGAGTTAGAAAAAATTGGAAGTTAATTTTTCCAACAAAAAAGAAAAAAAAGCTTGAGTCTCTTGGAACATGTGTGTGCAAACTCAATACGGAGTATATATTTACACTGAATAAACACCCTTACCTTTATGAGCTACATGATTGTACAGAGTATAAAGACACTGCAAAGGGAATGTGTTTTCACCTCACTTATTTAAACGCACATAGCTAAATCGCAAATACAATGCAAACTCACAAATCATCTTACATAAAACATGCTTCACCTGCAGAGAGAAGCCAGAACACGGCGAGGTGGGTCAAAGGGTCTTCGAGAGTGAAGAACAGCCAAGTTGTCGATGAGCAGAACATCCCCTTTCTTCCACGGAACCGCAACACTTTCTTCCTCCAAGATTGCTAGGCAGTCGTATACGATTTCAGCAGGCAATGGGCTCCCATCCCCAAAAGTGACAGCCTTCTTTGGATCATTTCGTGCATCTTCCCAGCCTGTGTATGCAGCCACCATGCTGTTGAACCATATTTTTCTCTGCCTCGTTTCGTCGAACTTAACACCCAGTATTGGACCCATAACTGTTTTCACTCCATCTTCCAGCCACTCCAGCTTCATCCCCAACTTCAGAGCCCTAAGAAGGAACATACACATACCTCATCATTTTGGAGCTAAAAAAAGTTCAGATGAATCAAATAGCAATCTTCTTAAACAAAGTCAAAGCCAAATGAGAACACAAACCTTTAAGAATGCAAGCTAAAGCTACACTGAGCCTTACAAAATCCCCTCCGAAAAGGAAAACTCTTTCATGGAATCTATGCCTTAAAAGATTTATAGAACTCTAGAAAGGTATTATGCGGTTACAACCTGTTGACTTGTTCATCCCACATCGGCAATGCAGCCTTATATTGTGCTGCTATTTAATAGCTTGGGTACTTCAACCTCTTGAGTTAACTTTTGGGGTTGAATTGGGCCCAAGTCTATTGTCTCAACATGGTATCTATTGTCTCAAGACTCTCAACACAACCATTTAAAGCTTTTAAAAGAGATTTAACAAAGTGACAGATGAATGGAATAACGATCTTCTGAAACGAGGTAAAGGCCAGATGAGAGTACAAACCGTTCTTCAGCAACACTCTTGTGGGAGGTCAAGAATGTGGATTTCCATCCTCGACCAATCGGAGATAGAGGATTGTCTTCTTCCCCCAACACCCGAGTGTAGATCAAGCCCTTCTCCTCCAATCTTCCTACGAACTCGGGGTATTTGCTCTTCATCTTCTCATACACTACATGGCTAAGTACTATTGGGGTTTCCCCTCCACTCCCAGGTTCTACTTCACAGTAAAAAAACAACTTTGATGGATACTCTGGAACCTACAATTTTTTATGTTTGCCACATTAATAATTGATTCATTCCCCAAATAAAAGAAAAAACTTCATTAGTTTCAAATATTCCCAATTGTTTACAAGTTCCAAAAAAAACTATGTAATTAGAGAACCTGGGCCATTTCGTGGTGAAAAGGGATCTTCTGATCGGGAGGGGATTCGTTCGCGGTGAAAACGCGGCCAACGACGTTTGTCCGAGGAGCGGCGCCGCCAACGTACGGCAGTTCCTGGTATCCGAATGCCTCGACGACGTCGTTGAAGTCCGATGCCGAATTGACCGGAAACCCTTTGAAGATAATAGCCCCAGATCTATGGAGAAGAGAGTTGAGCCATGGCTTTTGCTCCATAATCGCAACCGGGAAGCTCGGAGATGATGCGTCTGGGTTCGGCGATAAGACGGCGGGGAAGAATGTTCCGTCGTATCGCTTCTGTTGCGGGATGACGGCTTCTAAGAAGCGACTTTCCGGCATATTGTCGGTATTGTCTTCTCCTTCGCCGGGATACTTGAGAAGTTCGCGGGGAGTTGAGAGCTGAAGCAGATGATTGCCTTGATTGGTAGTGTGGGAACTGGGAAATGCTCCGAGTGTGCACCTTGCGCAACAAACTGTCTACATTAGAAAAAACTAAGAGGGAAAAAAGGAGGCAAATAAGGCAAAAAATGAGCTTGCATTTTCGCAATCGACCATAGTACACTTACACCAAAAAAAAATGTACCCCACTTGTACACCATAGTTTAGTTTTGTACAAACATTTTGATGGTTTACACGGACACAAATGTTAGTGCGTTAACAAAAATTTACACGGACCGGCCGGTTTCGGCCACCCCCAATTTATTTTTATTTTTTTTTTGCTTTTTTTTAAAAAAATTTAAAGTGTAAAATTGTAAATTTGCAATTGTTAAAGGAAAGAATGAAATAAAAAATCTAAAAATGTAGTTGTTATTTATATATTGTAAAATGAGTAATACACGAACTGAAGAACAACTACATTTAATATCCTGACCGTTAAGAACCGTAAAGAAACCCTCGAAGGAGCTTATATATCGCTCACCTTAAAAAAACTAATTACATATTTACATGAACATAAAAAAAGTTTATAACTTATTCCTCAGAACTCGGACTTCCATCTGTGGTTCCATTCATGTAATGCTCCGAATTTAATTCGTACCCTGACTCTTGAGCTCGACGTCTTGCCAAGAGCCAATCTTGGTTGCAAACAAGTGTTTCAAGAGATTCAGCGTTAAGACAACTTCGGTAGTCGGTTAGAATGTTGTCGCCAGCACTGAATTCTCGTTCAACTGCTACGGTTGATACTGGGATGGACAACACTTGTCTTGCTAGCATTCCGAGACATGGGAACATGTGTTCGTTCCGCTTTCACCATCCGAGGACGTCAAACTCCACATCGTCGTTGTCGTAATCGCATGGCACCCCTTGGTACATAGCAAGTTCGTTTTGCGAGCTTACTGTTGTACCACTTGAGCTCGTGGAAGGCTGAGCACGCTTCCCTTTCTTTGCAAGAAGCCCACCGACTATTCCTTTAAAACCTTTTTTTGATATGGGGGCGGAGGAGGTACTGTTTCTTCTAGTACAGTAACGTATAACCCTTAATATTCCTTAAACAAATTCTCAAAAAGAGTTATAACATTATCTCTTTCATTTTTCCATTCTATTAAATGGCTGTAGTAATAACTATTTTCATCTAAAAAACAAGTGTAGATCAATTAGAATTTTAAAATTTTCAATCTTAAAACATGGATCACAAATAATACCTATTTCATAAATATCAGAAATGTACAAATAATAAGCACACCATTTATCTCTCATAGGAGAGACATAAGGGTACAAATCTTCATCAGCCATACTTTCACGAAAACATGTTGCGACTGTAACACACTCTTTAAAAAATGTATTTGTAGTTGGTTGGTAAACATGCGAAAAAGTAAGAGTTGCGTTATTAAAAACTTCTAATACGGCATTCAATTTTTCAACAATAATAAATTCAATAGGTGAAATGATTATACGAAGTTAATGAAAGAATTCAGCAAGTTCCTCTTTATAACTTAGAATCTGTGTTATTAACCTGTAAGTACTATTCCATCTAATGTTGTTATCTTTGGCAAATGTTATTTCTTTTCTACCCTTAGACTTACAGAATATCTTCCAGGACCTCGAAATAAGACGAGCCCCCCAAATTCTTNCCCCCCCATAGCTTCTAGTCCCTGTTGAACACATAAATTTAAAACATGACAGCCACACCGTTGATGCAGAAATCTACCCATAGTCGTAGTAGGGAGGCAAATTTCTCTAAGTCTAGAAATAGCTGCAGTATTATTAGTAGCATTATCAAAACTAAATGCAAACACTTTATCAACTAAGTTGTATTCCGTAGAATACTCTGAAGCAATAGAAAAATATTTTCAGCAGTATGAGAATCATTGAAATCACGAAATGCAAGAACACATTTATGCATAATCCAATCACTATCTATCCAATGACAAGTAACACCCATATATGACAAATTATGATATGTTTCACCCCAAATATCAGAACAAATAGCAACACGAGAATTAAAATTGAGAAAAAAATTTTCCAAATTTATTTTTTCAATTTTATACTGGCGAATAATTTCTCGTTTAATTGTTTTTCTTGAAAAACCTCTTGCTTGAGGGTTTAATGTCTGTTGACAATAATCAATAAATCCAAGTTTTTCAGAAAACATGTATGGCAAATTTTTTTCACAAATCATTTCGGCCATTTTTTACTTATTTTGCTCGTCGCTATTAGCAAAAAGGCCGCCCTTACCCCTGTTAGCAAACCGAGAAATTTGGGTTTGCACTTCTTGTCATCCCTTCTTTTTCGCCGCGTATTTGGCGTACTCCACGGGATGCCTCAACCTTAGGTGTTTTTCCGGACCGCCATAACCGCCGGAAACTCTCATTTTAATGCCGGCCCCACAATACTTACAAGTTTTATAAACTATGCCATCTTTTGTTTCTTTTTCAAAATGATAAACAAATAAATCTGATTTTAATTTTTTTTACCTTTGTCCGGACCTCGAGAGGTCTCGGGCTCACCTGCCTCCACGTCGACGTCGTTGCTGTGCGGTGTAGGCTCCTCGTCCCCGTCCAGATTGTCCAGTCCTGCTTCATCAACATCCTCGAATAAACTATCAAGAGTGGGGAGATTCGCGTCCCCTCTACCAGAAATATACTGGTCGAAATCTTCATCCGTCATACCGTCCCCGATGAATTGATCGGGGATAGTAAGAAAGGAAGAGACGAAGTGTCTTCCTCGAGAACCGCGTGAGGTCGAACCGTCGGAGGTGGCTTTAGCTTTGCCTTTCCTCAAACTTCGGTTTACGGCGCCCATACCCACGGACCTTCTACCGGACTCTCTCAACATTTTAATATATTTTTTTGATAAAAAAGGACTATATTAAATATTTAAAATATTAAATATATATTAAATTTCGAAATTATAATATTAATTTATAAAAAATTAATAATATAATATGTTAGTAAATAATAATATATCAATATATATTTATATTATTATATGAATAAAAATTGTATAAAGATTAAAAAAGAGATAATAAGAATTAATAGATAATTAGAGAGGAAATGAGGAATATATTGAAAAATGAGAGATTGAGAATATTTGAGATTTGAGAAATAGAGAGTTGAGAATTGAGATTTGAGAGAGGAGAGTGTGTAAAAAAATTTTTAAAAAATGAATATATTTATAGGTAGAATTGTAGGAACCCCCCCATCCCCTTCCCCTTCCCCTTCCCCTCAACGGCTAAGTAGCCGTTTGAGGGGTCCCTCCCCCCTTAACCCCTTTAATGATTATTACCTCCGTCCCAGAGTATTTGTCAACTTTCATTTTTGCACACCGTCCAATACACTTTTTTAATCCATTTTATCTTGTAATTTGTATATTAAAAAATTATAAAAATTATATATTAATAATCTATATGTTAAGACAAATCAAACAAGATCACACATGACTATATTTAGGCTTACACATTGAGAGAATTTGATGAGTCAAAGTGCTTAGATGAACAGTTTTAAAAGTTAAAAGTGGACGAATATAACGGGAAGGAGGGAGTATTTTTTTTCAGGTAGTGGCAGCCACCCGTTGAAGACTCCCCCCCTTTAATGTTTCCTTGTTTTTGTAGGTGGTGGGCCGAACGGTTGCAGGCATGCAGGGAAAAAAAAATTCACGATACCGATACCGGCAGTTCTGGGACCGAAATTTGGGCACCGGCACAGGTACCTGTTGGGGCGGTTCCGGTACCGTTTTCCGGCACTGGTGTTACGTACCATGCGACGGTGACGGTAGTTGGTACCGGCGATACCGTATCGGTACCGTGTCCATCCCTAAAAAGAAGTTGTCTTTTATTTTTTCAATAACGTCACTGAAGTCTTTATAAAATTATCAAAACTGTCATTAAAAATTTTCTTTCAACAATGTTATTGGATTCTCTCAAATAATCAAAAATAACATTCAAATATTTTTAAATTGGGACACAGTCACACTAGTTTTAATAACCAAAATCATCCTAAATAAGACTAAAAGATAGAAAAAGTATCAAACTATGACTTCCATTCTTTTATTCCTGAAATAAGAGTTCGCACTGTGATAATGTGGCACTGTACACGTGCACATTACTATACTTCTTGGTAGTGTACATGACCACGTTTGGTAATGTAAATGCATTTTAACTCCTATTTCAGAAATAAAAATATGGAAGTTCTATTTTTGTATATTTTAATGTTATATTCCTATTTAAGTCTTTTTCCCTTTTAATAAGCTAATATTTTCTAAAGTTTTTGTATTATTTTTTGAGTGCTTCTATTCTACTAGTGCATCTAGATCCACAAGAAAAAAGTGTGGACTTCCTCACATAAAAACTTATTTCTTTATTTTTTATTTAAAATTTAAAAATATTCATCTCAAGAGTAAGCACTTGTTTACTCGCAAACTAATTTGTGGGTGAAACGTGTACGATCCACGATATGATTTATCTTATTTTATATTATGTTTAGTTTCATGGCAATTTTTACCACTCTTAAATATTTGATTTATTAAAGCAAATTATTTTAAAATATAATTTTGTAAAATACGGAGTTTGATATTTTGTTATTTTTCATTAAAAAAATTAAAAATAATATTTTCATTTTAAAAAAGTTACAAGACTTTTTGATGTACATTACTAAAAAAATTTAGTACTTTGTTTTTTTGTATAAGTTAATATGTATTTGAAAACTTCTTCCCTTACCTAAAAAATTGACCACACTTTTCACATTTAAGAAAAAAATGCTAAGTAGATTTTTTTAAAGAGAATTCAAGAAGCAAAAGTATGAATTTAAGTGGCATTTTTAAACATTTTAGAGACTTTAATTATATTATAGAGAAAAAATAGAGAGTGACATTTTTGAAAATTAATAATAATACTTGAGTAGCATTTTTTAATATTTTAAAGAGTTCAATGGCATAAGAGGAAAAAAATTAAAAGCAGTAGTCGTTTTTACAAAACAAATAATTTAGTGGCATTCTTGTCATTGCGCTCGACGAAAACAAGCCTAGATCCTCAATTCCCTCCTGTGGCACCCCTAAATTGTGGCACATAACTCTCCCCATCACTCTTTGCCGGTGAGATATGGGGCATATCCCCTGCCTGAATCCCCTTGTGCAATTAAGTGTCTATATTTATGGAAATGACAGAAAGGGTTAGTTTACCAAAAATTACATAAGTTGTTTAGGGGCTGTTTGTTTCAGCCTCTTAATGGTTCAGATGTCTGAATAGTTCAGCACTTAATGGTTCAGACTGTTTGTTTCAGCCTCTTAATGGTTCAGATGTCTGAATGGTTAAGAGATTTGCCTCTGAATGGTTAAGTATTATACAGAGTCTGAATGGTTAATACCTCTTATCTGAATTGATCCGACATTTGCCTCTGAATAGTTAAGCAATATACTAGCTCTTAATGGTTCTCTTAATGGTTCAGACCTCTTACTGGTTCAGCACTTACTTATTCAGAAGTTGCCAAACAGCCCCTTAGTGTCTTATGGGTGTATTCCACCCAGATCACGACCACGGTCCAGTCTAGCCAAAACCCAACCGGGTGGATTCTAAGTCCGTAATAGATCAGAGACAAAATCAAGATCACCCGGTCATTGTTACTTGGAACCATACTGGGTAAAGCCTCCATGACCAGTCAAGAAGAAAACATGCATGGTCAGAAAGAAATCCTCGATGAACTCAACACTCGCCTTCGGAGATCACCCGGGTAGAGGGCCATACTTTGGAAAAATTACTGGTACGGTTGGATGATGATGGGTCGGGCCTGATTGGAAGGAGATAACCAAGTCGGACTAAACGATTGGATCTTGAGACATTCCCCCCTAATACTACGTGCCAAGATGAGACAAGCCCAAGTAGGTACATCCTAGATAATAAAGGTATAGATGCTATAAGACATTGAGTCATCACTCCCGAAATATTACGTGGGCCTAGCTTGTATGTCTCTAAGCTTCAGCTTTAAATACGTTCCTAAACCCTCATGGAAGGGGATCCAAATTCAGTATCTCTAAGTGATGTGTCATTACCAAATCCGTATCAGTTTATTTTTGTCGGATATCGAATTCAGATACGGATCTTGACGGATACTGAAAATCAAAACCGTATCTGCATCCGTCGGATATCGGTCGGATATCAGATATATCCTTATCCGTTTCCGATTTTTATAATCAAATTAAACAATACTTTAATTTTAAATTAGATTAAAATCAAACTATTATTAAATCAACTATAATTTGGTATGGGATAATTATTTTCTTTGTTTTCATTATTTATGATATTCTACGATAACTTCTTATGATAAAAAGATATACACCACACACATATACACGTATTTTTATGTCTGTACATATTTTTATGTGTCTACACATTTATTTTATATATAAAAATGTCTTATATTTTGAAATACCAATAGAGAAACAAATATAAACATAAAAAATTAGGAAAAATTATATATAATGGATCGGATATTCAGATAAACGGTTAATTAAATGTATGCATATTCGGATCGGATTTTAAACGGATCGGATATACAATTACCAAATCTGCATCCGTTTAATAATCAGATCGGATACGGATAATATCCGTTTAAAACGGGTGTGAATATTTCCTTTTTAAACGGATTCGGATGCGGACGGTAATAGGATTTTTGGCTATTCGTTGACAGCCCTATCTCTAAGTTCCTTGTAAGCTTTATCTTGTAATTATATCACTATATTAATAACAATTAGGCTACGGGCGTTCTCACTCGCAGCCTTCCCCGACATTCCGCGTTCATTCCGTTAGTTTGTTTATTGACTACACTCATTGTTCTAGATCTAGTTTAGAATTTTGTTGCCTAGTTAACTAATGTACACCATTTTAGGCACTGACCTTGGGACCATCTAAATTTTCTTTTTTTACATAAATAAATTCACTCACGAAATACCACAAAAAACCATGTCTGTCATCCACCAAAACAACAACCCGTTAATTCTGCTTTTGCCAAGGGAAGCTAAACCATCGTCGACAAGGTAGCAGTGCCAGCCGACGTTGCCTAGACACTATCTGCGGCAGATCCCTGCTTGTGATCAATCAAGCCTTGGCTAAAACAACTACGGCGCCATCGGACGGGTGTTCTCTTTCTTAGGATCCTTTATTAGTCCACGTGTGATATTTTCTCCTAGCATGTCTCAATTCGTTAGTGACCCAGAAAAATGCATGTGATTCAGGGTTTCGACCAGGTCATGACCATGTATCAACAGTTAAGGGGCACACCTTTTTTACCAGGGATGTACCCCTAAACACTGCCCAATATAGGGCAGATACCATTGTAGGCACACTTACCACATGTGTCACCTTTTCAATTGGCCCTGTTGCACCCTTCTCCGTTCCAACTGCATGTGGTCAACGCGTTAACCCTGGTCAACTTGGCAAGTGCAATGGGTGAAACTTTTCCCTCACAACGACCGTGGCCTCAAAGCACACCGGAGGGCCATGTCATGTCAATTGAGAGAAGGAATAAGAAATGGGACATCCCTCGGTGCACAAAGAGAACAAGGGTAAAGAGCTCATACTAGTAGGGCCAAGAGACCCGACCCTCAACAGGCTTGGAATCAGAGAAGATGGGCAAAGGAAGTCAACCAAGTCGAGGTTAGGACATGGTGCAACCCACGTTAGCACGTTTGACCAGTTGGGCACATGGAAGAGGGCTGAGCCTGCACCTTACCAATATTCATGGTTGGTACCCGTCCAGAATAGAGTGGACCAAGTGGAGGCGAAGCTGGAAAGGTCGAAGAAAAGGAAAACAACGGAGAGCACCAACTAGTTGATTTGCCCTTCACCTCGAGGATTCAAAAGACACCATTCCTCCG